TAGTCGACTGGAGACTCGCTGAAGTGTTAACATAGCTAACGTCAATATATATAGACGCGCTAGCGTATAAGTTATGGTAGTATAGTTCGTTTTAGGGAAACAAATCTATAATACCGGTAGTTAGGTTTGAGGAAAAAAATACTCTGCTCTGCGTTCAGGATCAGCATCCCTACGCTTTCTGTTTATTTGCTGTTTCTCAGCTGCACTCAGTTTAGCCATACCCTCTATTTAGAAATACCTGACCAAAGGAGGATTAACAATGATAAAGAAAAGTTAGAATCACAAAATCTTAGTGCTATTTTATGCAAAAGAACTAAATGAATAGATTTGAACAAAGTTTATATATAAAAGGGAGTCACTGGTTTTACTATTGTTCAAATAACATATTGTTTCATTTTAAAATATAAAGAAATTGTAACCCTAAAGTGTTTTTCAAGTGTAATGTTTCTGTAAAGGCTAGGGGCAGAAAAATGGACATTTCCATAGAAAGACCCAGTACAAAATCGCTGTAAATAAAAATGTCTTTCGACAGACCCTCCAATCATCACGCAGAAGCCCGGAGTCCAGGCCAGCCCACTCCTCCATTCACCCCCAGAGAATATGTTCGACATAATGTACGACATGATCGCAGCATTTATCCAATGACCGTCTACTTTCGAAGCACTGAACAAAAACTGTTCAAAGCAGCCCCATTGAAGTCAATGGACGCTGGGCTTCAACAGGGAAATGAACTGACGCGACGCTACGACCTGCTAGCTGATTCTGAACAAACTCGTCTTCGAGATGAACGTGTTCTAACGCATTTTTAGTCAATAAAATGTTAACACAATAGTACATATTTGACTATTAATTTTTTGACATTATAAGAGAAGCCAAGCTTCCCTTCCAGTCTTAAAGGTGCAGTGTGGGATTTTTAGCGGCATCTAGTGGTGAGACTTGCAAATTGCAAACAGCAGTCACTCGCGGCCTATCCCTCGGTTTTCAAACTCGAATGAGAAGCTACGGTGGCCGACGTAAGACAAAATATGTCGTCGTCTGAGTCTGAGTCAGCAGCAGAGAGTAGTAAGTCAAGCAATGAGGTTTCTTTAGCGCTGTTTGTTCGCTTTCGGCTACGGTAGAAACATACCTTCAGACCTTCATAGAAGGGGATTCCCGCGCCTATGTAGATATAAATGTCTCATTCTAAGGTAATAAAAACATAACGGTTCATTAAGTAAGGTCTTTATACACCACTGAAAACATAGTTATGGATTTTATATTGCATTTCTGTCAATAGATCCTCAGAAATATTACACAATGCACCTTACATAATATAATAATAGTAATCAGCTGATTGTCTCACGAACGTAACCAGCACATTCTCCCCACACAGCAAACCCATAATACAGCGAGGGAGAAGAACCACATGAAACTATGCAACTATATATTTTTTCTAACAGGGTAGTAAAAGTTTAGCTGGCTAATATGAGCTGTTACTGTGGCTGAGCTGGTTAAAGCGTAAAGCCTTGTTTAAACTCGACGCGTCCGCATGAGCGCAAAGGTGCGCGCGGCAAAAATGACGTGATTGTAACAGCGCGCGCGCCTCCGCATCCCCTAGACACCACTTACTACACACAATAGGCTTTTTTTTCTCTGATTTTGGAAACTCGATCGACTTAAAATGCTTCCAAGATCGACGGGTTGGTGATTCCTGTAACTGTTTTACGGTCAATGACAAGAGTAGCCTACTAATCAGCTGTCTCACGAACTTAACCAGCACATTTATCCCCACATAGCAAAGCCATAACACAGCGAGGGAGAAGAATTAAGTTACATGAAACAATCCAACTACATATTTACACCACTGACAAGGGAAAAGTCACTAACGTTACTCACGGTGTTTATGACTAGCTTCTTCTAGCTTCCTGCGGCTTCTCTTTCAATGTAGTGACGAAACGCGCTCTGTAGCGCTGTTTGTTCGCTGTCGGCTACGGTAGAAACATGACGTCACAATATGGCGACCTTCATAGAAGGGGATTCCCGCGCCTATGTAGATATAAATGCCTCATTCTAAGGTAATAAAAACATTACGGTTTATTAAGTAAGTTCTTTATACACCACTGAACACATAGTTATGGATGTCATATTCCATTTCTGTTAATACTCAAAAATGTTACACATTGCACCTTTAAAGAAAGCCCCACTAACATATTATTTATATTTGTTATTTGTTTATATGGTAGCAGTGTTTACATATAGATATTTTTTTTTAATAATTAAAGAAAATATGTTTGTGCAGCCTACCTCATTTCATATCAATTTCTGGTTAAACCTTTCCCTGTGGATTTGATTCCATGCAGTCAGATATAGATTTCATTAAGCCCAAACCAGTATATCTTCAAAAACTTCAACTGTTTTTTATATACATTTTCATTTGTATTAATTACTGGGTTGTTTTTATTTGTTTAAAAGCATGTTTTATGCTTCTGCTTCATGGATGACCTTGTTTGATATTTGAATCGGTTGCACATTTGCTAGTAATATCCTGTTTTCTCTCTATTGCCCTGATTTTATGGAAAGAGAAGAGAAAAGAGCAAAGATAAGCTTGAAATCAGGCTCTGTCAGGTCTTAATAAACTGATATAGTGCAGCTGTTACATTCATGATCTATTCTACAAGAGAAACAGTGTGAAAACATTTAAGCAGCAAGAAAATGTGCTAAATAAATAGGCCTATTTTGAGTTGCGCTAGATGAGTAAAAAAAAAAAAAAAAAATTCTATTAATCAAAGTTTTTGGAGCCAAAACAATTAACAGTTAACAGCAGATTAATAGCTAAATTACATACATCTTGCGACATCTTGATTATAAGTAATTTTGCCTTGTTTCTTGACATACACTTCATTATATTTATATTCTATTCTATTTTATAATACATGTTTATGCTGTGCATTAAATGTCTTCCATTATATAATATATATATATTATATAATGTGTGTGTGTGTATATATATAATATAATATATATATATATATATATATATATATATATATATATATATATATATATGACCTTTGTAATTTGTAATCATTTCATTCTCTTACTCTGTGACCGCAAAGGGCAGATATCTTACTGGTTAATCAGAAATGTACATAGTGAAATATTGCTTTCTTATGCGAGTAACTGAATGGACACTGATTGTGAAAGTGAAACAGATATAAAATCACAATGTGGCATGAATGGCCCTTGTTTGCTGTTAAACGATTGAGTTGACAGTCAAGTCTGGACAAGCCTGCAGCAGCCCTCCACTCGTACCAGTGGGCACACACACACACACACACACACACACACACACACACACACACACATGTTGGTGCAACAGCATTATGAGGACTCTCCATAGGCGTAATGGTTTTTATACCGTAAAAACTATATATTCTATCCCCCTACACTGCCCCTATCCCTAAACCTACCCATCACAGGAGACATGCAGCATTTTTAATTTTTTAATAAAACATTGTTTTTTATGTTTTTTAAGCCATTTGATTTATGAGGACTTTTGAAATGTCCTCATAAACCACCCATAAGTTGTAATACCAGTGTAATACACATGTCATTATACAAATTTGTGTCCTCATAAATCACATAAACCAACTCACACACACACACACACACACACACACACACACACACACACACACACACACACACACACACACACACACACACACACACACACACACACAGACTCGGGTGACAGAAATAGCAGACGGACTCCACACTGCTGCTGAGTCTGAGATAAAGCAGCTGGTCTCACTTAAGATGTTTCACCCGAGGTCACAGTTGTGTGTCATTTAACAGTTGTTTAAGGCCCACCCACACCAAGAACGATAACTAGGCCTATATATGACTAAAGAAACTATATTTGCATCCACATCAGTGGACATTATCGTTCTGTTTATTTTAAGCGTGCGCTGCAGTTGTCGTCTAAACAGGATGGATTGTGAATGGCCGGCAATCGTTTATCAGCTGGAAAAATTGCTCTGAAATAATTCCAATGACAACGTTTCTTGGTGTGAACGGGTCTTTAGTTTTGAATGTCTAACTTGATAGTCCACACCACAGTAGCAGCAAGTAATTTTTTTGCCTTGTTAGGCAGGGAGTTAACAAAAGAACATCTGACAGCTGAAGTGTGTATTGAACTGTGTGCTATAGCCTATATTAGGCGAATTGCATTGAATGGATTGAACAAATCATGTGCCACAAGTTCTGACAAAGTTTTAAGATGTAGTGATTCTGTATCTGCCCTTATGAGTATAAAGTCTGATATAAATAGAAACCATCAATTACTTGATGAGATATTATTTACAAATTCAAGAATAAGCAAGGGAGACACGTCACATTCATGTGGAAACCAGCACGTGTGGGCATACTGGGAATGAGAAAGTAGATAGAAAGGCAAAAGAACATGTTGACGAACAAATGAAATAATCAAAAGCAGAAGAGAAGAGTCTAGTGCGGAAAAAGATAATAGCATGGCAGCAGCAATGGGATTATGAAAGTAAAGGGAGACAGATGTTCCGAAATAAAGCAGGTATGGAAAGTAAGAAGGGAAATAAAAGGAAGGAACAAGTCATAATACGTTGACTGAGGATTGGACATTGCAAGGTAAACAAAACTATTTATGTAGAAAACATCCGACAGGACTAGGCCTATATGATGAATGCAGGAGGAGAAAACAATGACGTGAAACAGCAGGTGGCAGTGATGCAACATTAAGGATGCCAACTGCCATAAAACACCAAAGAAGAACCGTCTGAGAAGCGAAAGTAATCGAGGGGCAACTGGATGCCTCCGAAGTCCCCACTTCAAGGGCTCTGCCCTTCGAAGGGAGTAGGGCAGATAAGTCTTCTGTCAAATTTGACACGAGAACAGCGCATAATGACATAATTCTTTCGCGATAGCCTCTGTGTTCTGTTGAGTATCCTGCCGTGTGATCTGCGTGAATGGTTTCGTTTCTATAGGTCCTTCTATGGAAAAACATATCCAGTTGTTATCAGCGGTTTACTGTCGTAGCCTATTGCTTGAGGAACCACTGGACAGTCACTCATCTGAGAACAGTGTCGGGCGACGTAGGCTATATTTATCCACCACTGACCACCAGCCTTTTAATCGCGCGCCTTTTGTCCGGTCGACGGTTTTCTTGAACACGTTTAATATGCTGCAATATTTCTGTGGACTTGTTTATCTCTTTGCAGTTTTATTGTTTGTGACTCTCACAGGTTTGTATTGACTCCCTTTTTTATTCTACCGATACATAAAGCGAAAACTTATGTCATTTTGAATTTAGGCTACTTGTTTCCGAACGTCGTTGTCGACCTATAATATTTTCTCTGTGTTCAAGTTGTTGACATGTTTGAATTTGAAAGTTAATTCATTACTGCTACACTCATGTACCAGCGAGCATTTGTAATGTGATATGACCTTCTGTGCTTGAGTGACGTTACACAGTATTTTTAGAGCTGGCAAATTTGGATTTGTAAATAGACTCAGGGGCGCAATGGAAGCATATGGGTAGCAATATTCAATTTGAAGTGTAATATGCAAAATGACAATGCAATACTTGTGCCTTTAATGCCAAGATGATAAGAATTGATTTGATTCTTTGTTTTTAAACAGTCATAAACAGTTATAGACTGATTGTCTTCTACAATAGCTTTGTCTTGCATAGTTGGTCAACAAACAAAATAAAATACCAGATCCTGACCAAGAATCCAGACCAGTCATTTTATTAACCAGTCAACATGTGATAGTTGCTTATAAATGTTCAGTCTGTCAAGTAAATAATACCTGCCATTACGTATGCCATTATTCTGAATTCTTTACTGTGTTTAACAGGTTCACATGCTGCTGAATGTCCTCTTCAGCTCAACCCAGAGAGAGTTATTGTGGAGTTCGGCAGTCCTGTCTCAGTCGACTGCAGCACTTCTGTCCAGCATAAAGGGATGGGATGGGAAGCCAGTGAGGGATCAGTGCCTATGAGCAAAGACAGTCTGATCACATGGAACGTGTCAGAACTGAGAGAATGGGACATAGAGCCATTCTGCTACATAAACTATGAGAAACAGTGTACAGTGACTCTCCCAGTGACTATTTACAGTGAGTTTCTCTGTTATTGATATTGTTATATTTTCATTCTCAGAAATATCTACTAAACATTCATGACTGCAGATATCAGTGTGTAAATCTTCCAGAGACTCCAGACAGTGTGTCCATCAGCACTGTGAATCACACCGGACCAATGATGGAGGGAAACCAGTATGAGCTCCAGTGTGACGTTCTCAATGTGGCTCCTGTTCAGACTCTCACTGTCAACTGGTACAAAGGACAGACTCTGGTGGATCAAACCATCTTCACTGACACCATCCATACTCCAGTCAGTAAAACATCTAAACTCCTGATCCGTCCAGACAGAGCTGATGATGGAGCTCAGTACTGGTGTGAAGCAAAGCTGGAACTGGGAGAAGAAGGACCTCGACCTCCTCCAACAGTCCCGTCAAAAACACTCAATGTTGAAGTTTACTGTAGGTTTATTTATTGCAAATCTTGCAAATTTTTTTCAATTTAATTCATTTATATTTCAGAAGGGCCTTCTAGTGTGAAGGATTATTCATTTTATGAAGTGAATTAACATTCTATTAATTCACTTAAATTAATTAACAATATGAATTAAAATGTTCCTCTGTCCTCCTCAGATAAACCAAAACACTCCAGTTCAACAGAGACCATCAATATCAATGATGAGCTCACACTAAACTGTACAGTGAAGGCAAACCCGTCTCCTACGTACTCATGGCAGTCAGAACATCTGAAAGAGACGATCAAGTCCTCAGTGCTTCTGTCCTCCACACTCAGTTCAGGAAACTACACGTGCATCGCCTCAAACTCTCAGGGAAGAGACAGCAAAGTGTTCATCCTCACATCTACAGGTCAGTTCTAAATAAACACTAATGAATAGTTAAAAGACTAATTTAAAGTTACCATTACTGATTTCCTACCCGAATGTTAGCATCACTCTGGTTCCCTCAATAAAAACTTTACTGGATTTTTCCATCGGCTTTAGAGAAAGAATGCTCTGTGACCAACAAAATTTGATTTTTACATGCTTTGTTCATCATGAAAATCTTCACAAATTAACACAATTTTTATGAATTTTGAAGCCTCAATACAATCATCAGAAGTAAAAAGCTAAACATAGGCTATAAATAAACTACACCACGGTCACATGACTTCAACTTCACCATCACCCAGCTTTCAACAAATCTTTCGGTCTGTATTTAAAAATAAAAATAAAAAAACATTTTCCCTGAACGTTTGAGTTCTAATAGTTTGCAATAGTTTGTGACACAGGTAGGCTGTATAAGCAGACTATAGTGAGTAGATGAGTTTAAGTTGTTTGGTGTAATTGTTTAATGTTCCAGCGACAACGTCTGTAGTCACATTTTACCACTTGTTAGCAACTGCTTTTTTCAAGAAAAGCAAAAGCTTAAAAAATTACTAGAGGGTATAATTGATAGCCTATATTTTTTAAAATAAATTATCTTAAGCTTAATTATTGAAATTATCTGATAAACATAGATTTTTATACATTTAACCAACAACCCGTTTCAAAAATCCATTGAGTTTGGCACGATGAAACCCCAGAAGTGTTAAAATGCTAACTTGTTTCAGCGTTTTGTCTAAATATGCCAGTATGGGTTAAATCTTCAGCTGGCTGGCAGGAGCCGCCACTGGCGTGTCATGTGACCTGTCAGTGTGTTTGCATGAAGAACCTTTATCATGCTTGGATTGGAGCCTTTCCATTCCACAAAGGACAGTCTCTGAGTTTCTCAGTCCAGTCTGAGTTTCAAATCCAGTCTCTGTCAGTAGGTTCGGGGGCTTATTGAGCAGCAGAAATAGAGCTGTTACCCCGGTAACTTCTGTAAACAAAGCAGCACGCTTATAAACCAGGAAGATGAAAAGAAAATGGCATCAAAACTTTTCTCAAGGCAGTCTGTTCCCTTCAGAGACACATTCATAGAATTCAAGAATACTTAAAGGATAATTCCGGTATTTAACACTTTGAGTCTATTTTCTAGTTTGTTTTGGATGAACTAGAGTGGTGGACTTAGAAATTTTGACGATGGGTCCTGTCTCGACTTTTTGACTATTTTAGAATGGCCTCGGAGTGCTTCAGAGTGGATGTCTATGGGCATGCTCAAACATGTCCTTAAAACAACCCTTAACGTTCGTTTTCAAAACTGTGCAACTCACCGAGTGGTTAGTGGTGTTCGTTGATGTTCCAAAACAAGTAGCGTAGCGAAATACAGTTTCTGTCGTGTTTTATTTGCCATTTTTTAAAATCGTATTGATGTCTGCTGGAGGACTCAGTGCTCGTTGATATTACTGCGCTACCAGAAACGGAAAGGGGTCTGTTTACATTTGGTGGTGGTCTTTTCGCTCGGTTCTCGGTTAATCATCAACGAACACCACTAACCACTCGGTGAGTTGCACAGTTTTGAAAACGAACGTTAAGGGTTGTTTTAAAGGGATACTCCACCAGTTTTTCTTATTAAACTATGTTATTCCCTTAACTAAGACGAGTTGATACATACCTCTCTCGTCTCAGTGCGTGCACTATATCCCTCTGTATTGCCGCAAAACTATGTTAGCACTTAGCTTAGCCCATGCATTAAATATGGGCCAAGCAGAGAAGCGACCAAACACTTCCACGTTTTCCCTATGTAAACACAGTTACTCGAGTAGTGTAACTTGACCTGGGCTGGTGACACAAAATAAACCGTTGCGCTTTTCTAAGCGTTTAAAATTGATGACTATATTGTATGGCGGAATACCATAACAAGTGCTTTTGAGCACTTCGACTTGGCGCAATAATATCTTCACTCGTGAAAAGATTACCGGCTCCCGCTTCCTCTCCCCCTCCCTCCAATAGCATCCAGCTGCTGACATTTCCGTCAATACTACCAACGTGACTTTTACTACCTGTGCTATTAGCAAACTGCAGATCATTTGCAATGGCCGACTTTGTAGATGATTATGACTTCTTTTAGAAGACCCAGAGCCATATCTGTTTGAACCCGAGTACACGGAGGAGGAATTAGCTCTTGTGGACCGTGAGAGGCAAGAAAGATATGATCCAGAACAGACCGGAGCTGGCGAAAGACCACGGGCTTTCTGTAAGTGATCTGAATATTGTTGGTGTAGCCTCATCCTTTAGGCGTGTTCCTGTGCAGGTATAGTCCTTCTTTGTGAAATGTTCGGAGCAAACACGCCACTTCTTCAGAGTCATCAATGGTGTTTTGGGATTCTTGTTCAAAGCAGCTAACCAAGCTCTCCGCTGTATGTGGTGTGTTGGAATTCGGTGAAAAATGACAGCACTATGTACATTCTCCTTATTTTCACAACCCTTTACGATGCACGCTTTAACCATTATTGTACACAAACTAGCTTCCAACAACCTGTTACTTCGTCAACTCCGCTCGAACTACTACCGGCGCATGTCACGTTGTATTGACGGAAATGTCAGAGGGAGGGGGAGAGGAAGCGGGAGCCGGTAAGAGGACTTTTCACGAGTGAAGATATTATTGCGCCAAGTCGAAGTGCTCAAAAGCAATTGTTATGGTATTCCGCCATACAATATAGTCATCAATTTTAAACGCTTAGAAAAGCGCAACGGTTTATTTTGTGTCACCAGCCCAGGTCAAGTTACACTACTCGAGTAACTGTGTTTACATAGGGAAAACGTGGAAGTGTTTGGTCGCTTCTCTGCTTGGCCCATATTTAATGCATGGGCTAAGCTAAGTGCTAACATAGTTTTGCGGCAATACAGAGCGATATAGTGCACGCACTGAGACGAGAGAGGTATGTATCAACTCGTCTTAGTTAAGGGAATAACATAGTTTAATAATAAAAACTGGTGGAGTATCCCTTTAAGGACATGTTTGAGCATGCCCATAGACATCCACTCTGAAGCGGTCAGAGGCGATTCTAAAATAGTCAAAAAGTCGAGACAGGACCCATCGTCAACATTTCTAAGTCCACCACTCTAGTTCATCCAAAACAAACTAGAAAATAGACTCAAAGTGTTAAATACCGGAATTATCCTTTAAAGGAGCTATGTGTAGGTTTTTACTTAAAAAAAATCTTTAACCCTTTCACACGTATGTTTAAAATATTCTAACTGACCCCCCAGCGTGAGTTTTTCAAGGCGACTGTTATTTAGAACTTGTCACTTTAATGTTTCCATGGTGACGCGTCATTGCTTGTCACATGACACAGCACAACCACAACACAGCGCTGAATGAGTGATGATCTGCTTTTATGTCGTTTTTCCTTTTTTATAAAAAATATTCACAAATGTATTAGCTATAGCATGAAACACTGATATTCCGATTGTCAAATATGTGCAAGTGGATGGTTTTTGTTGTTTAAACATCTTTATAACGATTGCGTTAGTTGAGCTGTATGCACAATGGGCGCCGCCATTTTAGTTTGTTTTACAGTTCAGAGAATCGGATCTGTTGGATTACAACACGTTAATTCCTCCACTTCTCACGAAATACATTAAAGTAAGTGGCCGGTGAACTGGGAGAAGAATAGGGTCAAATGTAAAGCTACTTTCACAATGTGTATCTGATATGAATAAAACCTGTCGTCTTATTATAATGGAAAGGATTATTATTGCCGCTTCCATACTAGACATCAGTGTGTATTTTACAAACTCAAAATCATTGTTTTGCTAGTATTTATGTGTATTTAAATGTCTGAAACTTAAAATAAACATTATGTGGTTGAAAACACTCAATAGTTGTGATATATGACAGCACTGAGTGCGTCCGTCTCTGGCTCAGCGCCAGCCAACGCGCGAAAGCACGTTTGAATTTAGCAGTTGATCACGTGATGCACTGACCGTTCTAATCACACCGGTGTGATCGTACGCTCCAGGGACCAGCCAGGACTGATCACACCGGTGTGATCGTACGCGTGAAAGGGTTAAGATAGAGTCTTCATTTGTACATTTATGAGCCAACCATAATGTAATAGAAAGAATGACACCTTGACTGTCCCCCACGGTTGCCTCTATCAGCCTGTAAGCTCAATTGTGTGTGGAGGAGTCGGGTCCGAATTGGCGTGAAAATTCACAAAATGTGACGTCATGCGCGTTCTCGTCTACTTGGGCTTACATCCGTACGGCAGCCATTAGTAAGCAGCGGCAACCGCTAGCAGTAGTGTTTCAAATGGACTCTGCGGACGGAAAGAAGCGACCAGCCTCCAGCACAATCCAGATACCCACGGAAACTAGTAAAAAAAAAAAAGAAAAGAAAAAGCCTTATCTAGTGCGGCCAAAGAGCGTGCACACCGAGAACGAGCATGAGACTGGCTGCAGTTTCTCTAACGGCCACTGGTGTCAGTAATGGTAAGAAATTTCAGAACTTGCGCAATGCTCCTTTAAGTTTAACTCATCATAATTTCCCTCAGCACTTGGTGGTAAACCTCGCTTCTTTCCACCATTTGTTTCAAACAAAACGAAACCAACGCTGCATGCTGCGTGAGACTGTTGCTTAATTTGCTACCGGACAGCATTTTACCATGAGTATTTTAAATCCTGGCAAACAAATACGTTTTAATGATGATTAAAATATTAAATTGTAATGCGTCGGAAATTGCATCGTGGTTTATCTTCAAACTGGTAAACGTTTCATCCCTAACCCTCAAACTAAAGTGAACTTGGCGACTCCTCGTAAATCTTTAGCAACCCCATAGTGGCGGTCGCGACCAGGTGAACTAGTGAAAACTCCTTTTCTGTAAGCCTACCCAGCACTTGATACACAGTGAAACGAACAGTAACGATGGAGTCGGTTTAACCTTATCTATTCGAGCCCGAGTCCTCATCCTTTGGAAATGCAGAAAAGTAGATTTGGTTTGGCGGCGCAGAAAAACAGCATCTTCTCTACATGTCGAAAACACAAACCAAACTCTTCCAGACTACAGTGTTTGACGGTGGGTCAAAGTAGACGTTTGCAGACAGCCAATGAAGACCATAGGCTGGCTTCATGTTCGAGCAGGAAGTGAGACTGAAATTACTGACGACTCGTTTTGGGAGTTCAAAATCGATTCTTTCATTTACAATATCATAATTTGTCATGCAAATTTGATCTTTGCAGACCTTTTAAATTTACAAACAGCTACAGTATATTAGGCACTACATGAAATGCAATATATGAGAAAGCATAATAAGGAGGGGGGAACTTTAAGAGAGTAGCACTGTATACAGTAACAATGAGAGTTTCTGATACAGAGTAGCCTGGTTTATGTGTGTTACAATTCTGCTAGTGTAGTTTATATAAGCATTTTATTTAGAAGGAGCAACTAGAAAACAAAAGTATAAATAAATAAATAAACAGCTTTCTGTTGGTTATATAGAATACAATATTAAAAATCTTTTCCATTTGAAATCGAAAACCATTACTATGAGGAAGGAAACAAGAATGCGTTTGTGACATTTGAGCAAGTTGGTTATATTAAACTCTCAGTATTTATTTATCCCAAAGTTTATTCTTTTTTTTTTTTTTTGCAATCTTGAATAAGCTTCACGTTTGCATTTATTCATTCATCAGGCATCTAACACAAAATGAGGAATAGGGCAACAATAGTGTGTTGTAGTCTCCCGCACACTGGTGTTGTGTTCCTGCCGAGCCGCTCCAGGACGGCTGCTGGTCTGTGTGTCGCTTCTTTTGCTGAAACTGTTGATGGCTTCATCTGTTTCTAAAATCATTCATGTCATTTCTCCCACAGACAGAACCACATTCTGGCCTATTATTTTATCTGTCGTGGCTGTGGCAGTGGCAGTGGTGTTAATCGTCTCTTATGTGATATTCAAACGCAGGGCTTCCTGGAATGCTGTCATTTGATTGACTTGTAAGATATGGATAGGATACTTAAGCACACATTCCCTCGGTTTCACACACAAGGCTTAAACTAGTCCCAGACTTAAATGCATGTTTGAGCTGGTTTAACTCAAAGTAACTTGCACTGACATATCTTAAGTCAGACTCAGTGCCATTGGTTTGTCTCAAGATGCATGAGCACCAGTATGTTTTTTTTCTAAGGCATGCATGTTTATAAAAGCTACTTAAATATCCTAATTGAACTAAGGCCTTCTAGCTTAATCTAAACCCTGTCTGTGAAACTGGGCCTTTATTCAATAAACGTAAGGCTCGGTTTTACAAACATGGCTTAGATTAAGCCAGGATTAGGCCGTACTAGTTTAATTAGGGCATTTAATAGCTTTTATAATAAATACCCTATAAAAAAACATTACTGGTGTGCATTTTGAGACCAAACAATGGCACTGACATATATTAAGATATTCCAGTGCAAGTGTCTTTCAACAGCTCAAACTTGCATTTTAGTCTGGGACTAGACTTAAGCCTCGTCCATGAAACCGGAGGTAAATGTGTTGGTAGTGCACTATAAATTGGTATACTTCAAGTCTATTAAACTAAAGTTGTGTTAAGTATGCTTTGTTGTGCTAAAGTGGAACTATTCCAAGCATACTTAAGTACAACTTAAATATCTAACCTAGTTTTTGCAATAATACAGAATACAATGTGAACTTCAAATGTATTTTGGTGACATTACAATTGCAATTAAATTACACTTTTAAAACTTTTGGACTTTATTGTTATATATTTACATTATAAGTTATACTTATAATAAACTGAGGCCATACTATTCTTTTACAAAAAGTGACATTAAAACTTTGAAATAGCTTTGAAGATTGAAATAACACTTTGAGTGGGATAGAGCTGCACTATATATAGGAATAGTATGCTGAAGACATACTTCAAATTAGGCCTACTTGTGATGACAAAGTACCTGTAACTCGGGCTTCTAATGTATTTTAGGTATCACTGAAATGTGCTGAAGGTGAAATTTGATTTAACTTCAAGTGTCAGTAAAATGGACTTTATCTCTAGTAGTACTTGGACCTTGAGAGCATTGGAAATGTATTAATGTTGTGCTTATAATCACCTTACAGTGGTCAACACACCATGATTGATTGCTTTATACTGACAAGACAAATATCTTGTGAATGTAGGATACACAATTATACAACAACTGCGCCACCATCAAGATTGTACTTACTTTGTGGTCCTCCCATAATGGGAAACGTGTTCCTGGTGGTGTGTAAATATTTTTCATAATTTATTTCACTATTTCAAACTGACTACACCTGATACTTAAAATGTGCTTAAAGTAACAACAGGTAACTTTTCAACCTTCATAATATATTTCCAAGTCTCTTGTGATGGTACATCGACTTACAATAGGTTGAATGACACGTCTGCCATAGCCTGACGGGGTCTGTAGCGTTTTTAATCGTACTTTTAAACTTCGGGTTTCGGGTAGTAACCGGCGAACAAAGAGAACTACAAAATTCGACTGCTTTACGGCATATACGTCACTTCCACCACCACCCCCACTTCCTTAAAATCGGACTTGCGAGCCAAATGTTATAGTCATGGCCGAAGCAGCACAGAAAAACAAGAAAGCAAAGGTTTTATCGGAGCAAAGCAAAAAGAGAAAGTGATCGCGTTAAAGGCAGAACGAGGATCAACATTGCAGAGCTGCCAACTCACGCATTGGCCGTGAGACACCCGCATTTGATTGGTTTCACACGCTCACACGTACGCCACACCCCCGGTTTCTCACGCTAAATTGTCAACCCGGTCGGTCAAATCCCTGAAAGATGAGTTTATCTATAGATCTACCTGTTGAGCCACTCGTGATCGACAAGTTATACCGCAAATTAGTTCAAATCTCCCGGAATCTAGAGCGAGCGCGCACGCGAGACAGAGACTGTGCTCCAACGCGCGCGGGCGGCAGAGAGAGAAAGCGAGCGAGAGACCTTGCGTGTGCAGGGAGCATCGAACCCCCCATCGAAAAAAGAATGCCTCTCTCTAACCTCTCTAATTCGCTAGAGTAGTAGCGAATTATCAATCTGGTAGCTAGTAAACGATATTCTAGTTTTTGATGGTTAGCTATCGCTAGTATTCTCGTTCTGATTTGAACTTTGCAATCGATGAAATGCAAATAGCAAATGTTTGACCTAAAAAGTGTAGTCTACTCAACATGTACAAAGAAAGGAGGAAGATTATTAATAAAATCATATTTTAGGATACCTAACATGTCTGTGATATTTGTTTATTTGTCTTGCCTCAAGCTATAATGCAAATCGATTTGTAAAATTTGCAGATTCATTTATGGTAGCTTGATATTATAATATTGACGATATATGGTTATTATCAACCACTCAAACATTGCATTGAAGTATCATATAGATCCAGTAAAACGGTAACCAATAGACTAGGCTACTATAATGACGCTGGCTTGTAAACGTGAGCATCGCGATCATTTGTCGTTAGAAAAAAAATAAAACCCATGAAATTATATTCATATGACATGCTGAAATATATGCCACTGTACCTGGGATGAAGACATTTCACACGCGACGCAAGCAGAACACCTGCATGTGACCTCCTCCTACAGTGTTCAGGGCTATCCTGGTTGTCAACAATTGCACGTGCATGTAGGATGACAGAGTTTACGACAGTAGTAGAGGACAATACTGTTTCCCAACTGTAGGGGAGCCCGAGAGCAAAAAACGACCTGTTGTTACTTTAAATGACTGCAGGCTATGACGGTAAAAACTGTATGAATTTGTATGCTGTTAATAAAGTTGTGTAACGAGACTAAATACCTTGTCATTTTTCTTATGTAGAAAATGCATCTTGATTTAAGAATTTGTTGATATTTTGACTGGAAACAAGAAGACAAAAATACCGAGTAAGAAAAGTTTTTTTTGTGCATATTCATTCATTGCGTAATATTTTCATCATGTAGACAACGTCAAAGTGACTAAAATGGCATGTCCTTTTATACAGGATCATGTACACGAGAAGGCTGGATTAATTCGTAGGGAGTTACATTATTAGAATTTCCTTTACGATTTCTAATGTGGTTGGATGCATTGATGACAGGCATGTTCCCATCATCGCACCTTCCGAAAATGAAAGATGACTGCAGTGATTCTCTACCGGTGGGCCTCGGAGCGCCATCTGGTGGGCCTGGTTGGCAGTGGTAGACTACCCCCAAATTCATTTTTTTATTTTTTTTATTGACAAATCTTATTTTCTAATTATAATTGTACTTATGAATATGTTTAAAAGCACTCAAGTCAAATAAAGATGCATTATCTAAAAGCTAATTTATGTTTAAATATCGCAACACCAATCATGTCACAGTTCGATCAGAAGCAATAACATTGCGTCTGCTGTAATATGGGTCGTTTTCTGAAAAGAAGAACCAAAAGCTTCAAAGTGTGTGGTGAGAAAATACGATGCTGAATACATTAAAGGGTTAGTGGAATTTTATAAAAAAAAACTTTTTTCCAAATTTGTTCAAACTTTCGATATATATATCAATGCATAATTAAAATGTAAGTACTCTGAAAAAGAAAGTATAAAAATCGAGTGTCTGTAGACATCACACGACTGTTTTAAAGACAGCTCATTATTTCCATTCACTCCACCCCCTCCCTTCTGGGCTCCTTCCAAAGCCACGCCCCAAAAACACATGAACGCGCGACTCCGACCGCTGAGCTGAAGACGCATTATTTACCTGAGACGAGCGGAGAGGAAGGAGCGCAGTGCATGTAGTGACATCATGTCAGAATCACATGTAATAAAAAAATCTAACTTTATCATTATGAAGATAAACAAATAAGATGTATTTTAGTACTCACTATCAAGCTAGCATATTGATATTGATATCAAGTTCTTGACACATTTTTTTTTTACACAATTTCACATTTGGTAAGTATAACCTGAAACAACAACAATAATAATAATAATAATAAAAAAAACCTTAAAAATAAAGGGCATAACAAACATATGTTGAATTCATTTAGCAGAGATACAGATCTTTGGGCTTTTCGATTTTTTAAAAAACTTTACAGACTCTAAAATACATTTTAAAGGCTACTTTAAAATGAGCAAACATGGGTTACTCCATTTAGTTTGATGAATATAAAATATTCCATATAGCAAAAACAAATTGATAACATACAGGCCTAGGCTATTTTTCTTTTGGAAAAGTCATATTCATTTGTATGAAATAAGACAGATGACAAATTTAACACTAGGTTGCAGTTCATTTTAACACCTAGAAATTGAGACATCTTATACCAAAAGATTGATGAACAGGGAAATTCAAAAAATAAGTGGACAATAGACTCTCTTTCATTTTACAAAAAAGAGCCTGGTGTTTTGTTTTGCTCTATCCTCTGCGCTTCCGCGTTCGTCATTACGTAATGCGTCAGTTCAAACTCTTCCACCGTAAATCGATGCCTAGCCGGAAGGTAGTTATTTTGGTCGATAAAGTTCTCTTTCATCATCTCGTGTTCGAGATCCACCTATGGCATCCGCACCTGACCTCTGCAGAAGCATCCAATTGCACCAATTCTGGCCTGACAGACAGAAGCGCGTGTCCAATGCTCGGTAAGGGACCCGCCCCTTACCAAGTGTATAAAACACTAGCACGTGCTATCTTACCTCAGTTGTTATTCGCTTCTTGCGACCTCTTTGCTTCGCAGCTCTACGGTTTTCGCTGACTTCACCACAGTCAACAGGAGGAAATATCTATTCGATTAGCCTCCGCCAGGCGTGATTGTCAGACGGTTGCGTTTAGTTGCGATTTATTTCTGGTTGCAAGCCACCCACGCTCGCTACCTGGATTTGCTCAGGCTGCCCGCCTGTTTCTCAGCTTTCACCTCTCCGATCGATCACAAGCTCTCCGTTCCCACTAACCCATCGGACGTGTAGTCGCATGCATGCCCTGCCGCCTGCGGTTCACTCATGGTATGCATGGGATTAA